GTTGCGAACACCCAGTCTATCGATCATTTCCCATAGGTTTGAATTGCAGATCAATCGACAATCGATACATCGCAAATCGCGCCACGCCACTGCTCCGGATTCCAAACCGAGATTTCTAACAGTCTACGAAGCAATCAGCGATTCCAACAGAGGAAGAGGAGAGTGATATTCAAGCGGATTTCTCGGGAAAAGTTGCGGAACTGAAAGCGGCAGGAGTCTGCGAGGCTGATAGAGTTGGGAACTTGCGAGCGGCTGCATGGCTGCTCATTAGATTGATAGCTGCGCTTTATTGGCACGTCACTTGCCTGACGTCCTTTAGTGATATAAAGCTCTTAGGGGTGAGGTTTTGTCGCCGTGTCGCCGGCGAAAATGCAACCCTTGCATCTGATAATGCGCCTGGGAAGGGCTGCTTGTCCTCCAAGGGCGGAGATAAGTAACCACATTATTCCCGGCAACTCCTGTTTTTGATGCCTCCAGGATTTGGAGAACCCAAATGGGATTGCTTATGTCGTCGTTTCTCTCAGCCAGGGTGTCTACGGAAACGGTCTGACCAGAGATCAGTGCTTTTTCAGTACATTCCCAAGAAATTCAATACCTTCTCAACAGAAAAATTCTGTACTTTTTCAGTACCTCCAATTGACGAAATTCGAAAAATTTCAAATTCTCGCTCAAATTGCGACAAAAATGTCAAAAAATGAAAAAAATTCCGGACCTTTTTGCGGAATTTCCGCACTCCTTCCGATTTCCGGACCGCCCTTAAAAAATCAGTCCTATTTCCGGAAATTCCAGACTTGTAGACACCCTGCTCACGAAAGAACGTACTTCCATTTCAATGTTGATACATTTCCCTTCTCAAATTGCATATTAAACAGGAGAACCTTAAACATTTCTAACTGAAATTTTCCCCGCTTTTTCCTCGGATTTCATGCAAGAACCAGCAATATTTTGGGAAAAAATAGCACAGGGGCATTTTTGAAAAATACATTTATTTTTTAATCAATTCGGCAGCCTTGGAATGGGGTGACGTTCGTCGTCCGTAAGACGACGATATGAGACAGAGATTACAAATTTGAGGATAAATGTATCTTCTGCTTGGAAAAAATTCGAGTCAAGTGGAGGTGACATGAAAGGTGCGTAAGTAGTAAGTGGCAGTGACCTCGGTATTTCTTACAGCCCCTAAACTGAGTGATTTCAGGAATCGATAAACCGACATGGGATTGCTAATATAGACCGCAGATGATCAAATACCGAGATGAAGTGTTTTCTGATCGAGCAGATTTCAAATAAAGTGAAATTGGGTGACGTAAAATGTGCACAATTGGAGTTTTTCGTTCGTTGACAGTGTATCTGATTCAGGAGATTTTGGAAACGCCCTGAGAATTTAAGAGAGAATGTCCTTACTTCCTCATGTCTTCCCTGGCCAGAACAACAATCATGATTGAGCGTTTTTGATGGAGACGTCAGTGATGTACCAAAACGCACGAAAAGAAGAGGAATTTCTTCTGATAATTTTAAAACTGAAATTTTCAGTTTCTGAATGGTGACTAATGTTTTTCAAAATTAAAGCAACCCAAAAGATTAAGAGAAATCTATACGATGAAAAAGCTGTAGCTCATTAATAAGAACAACCACATTTCCGCTATAAAAACGTCTGTTGATTTTGTCCCTGACTTTTTTCCTGATTAAATCCTGTTAAAATCCTGAAGTCTTACAACTGGATTGGGATTCTCTATTTTGAAGTACTCTCAATACAACTCTAGGATACATTAAAATAATCTAAAAGAAACTGGGGCGAGGTGCATCTCATGAATTAATTTCCATACTTAAATTAAATTCCCGGTGATTTTAAGGTGAAAAATTAGTCAGAGGAAAAGAATTAAGAAGAGGACAAAGCGCATTATTCAGATCCCTATTTCACGTTTAGAAACTAATCTAAAAACTAATCTACTCCCTCTGCTTTCATAAAAAAACAGAAATTTTGCTCGCTATCAACCGAACAGCGAAAGGAAAGCGAGAATCGTGTTTGGCAACCGCACGTACCCGGTTGACTCGAATCGAAACCGACACCTGATTGATTGGGGGGGGGGGGGGGGCGACAACAAATCCAAAAACATGAAAAACGGTGATACCAAAAACAGGACACGTTACGTTACGCTGATAATGAATGATTGAAACAGGGCACTCCAGTTTCTGTACACTCCTCACGTTTCGAAACGGACAAAAAACGAATTGATCATGCAGGGGAAAATGTATCATTTTACGCTTTTGAAAAAATTCATATCAACCGCCAATCCACCAATAATAATCCTGCTCATAATTCTCTGACTCCTCGAATTTTCATTTCTTGTCATGGTTCGTTGAAGAGATTTTCCGAGCCGCGGGCTGATTATCGAAATTGATAGGCAAAGGCAACAAAGAGGAAATGGAGCGATCCTAATGGTGGCAGCGGGTGGTTGCGATGGAAAAATGAAGTGAGTCGGCTATCTATAGGCAACCCAAGAGACACCCTATGCTTAGTCAGTAGTTTTTCTCCCGATCATCCGTTTCAACCTACACTGAAAAAAAAGTAGCTTGGATCAAGCATGAGAATTCTTGAATTTGCCGCCAAGAATTTTCTTTATCTTGCTTTAAGCTGACTTTTTCTTGATTCAAGAAAAATAATGCTTGGGTTAAGCAAAAAAGTAGCTTGTATTAACCAGCAAAATTCTTGATTTAAGAGGAAATACTTCTTGGCGGCAAATTTAAGATTCTTTTTTTTCCAGTGTATATACGGCAATATAAGTTAATTCGTTTAAGGTGATTCGTCAAGCTCTCTTACGTGGTCGAGCTGGCGTGCGATATATCGCATCGATTAGGTCAAAAACCCCCGGAATAATAATAAACGCAGATTTTGAATTTGTAGCCTAAAAAAGGACAATAGCCCATGTGTTGTGAGCAAAAATTGGAATAATTCAGAGAAATGAAAGCAGAATCGTAATTGGAAAAAACTTCGCATTCGATACAGACAAACGTATCGCATGCGAGGTTTCTCCAAACACGATTCTGCTTTCATTTCTCTATATTTTTCCAATTTTTTGGTTTAAAATGATTCTTTAGGCTCACGCACAGGGACTATCGTCCTTTTGTGACTACAAATTCCAAATCTGCCGAGATTTTTGGCCTGTAATCGATGCGATGTATCGCATGCCAGTTCGACCACGTCTGAGAGCTTGACTAATCCTCTAAGCTTTGATTTCAATTCATTTCTTCATTCGACCTCTTGCTTTACCAGTAAATTGGCACGATCTGACAACGCTGTTGCTTGGAATCGACCCGAGATTCTTGACCTGCCGTAACATGGCTTCGAGCCGCGGTGCCTACGGAGTGGCCCACGCGAAAAAAATGCTTGGAGGTGCAAAACCTACAAGCTGGCCGCTTCCTCCAGATGTTCGCAGAGTTGTCAACGACATAATCCTCGTGGAGCCCGTATTTCATCGGCTCAAAGGCGTCACCTCATCGTTAAATTGAAAGTTAACTCCCATTCGACACATTTAAATTAATTGACATCCGCTCATCCTATGCGTGCAGACAAGAATGAGCATGCTTTTACAAATTCATGTACTTTGTGCATGCATGTATGTTTCGCCTGAACATGCTTCCTATTTCCTTCTCCGTGATAATTGAATCGATATCTGACAACGATTCAGGTCTTAATGGCTTGTATTGTAGTAAGGCACCGTCAACAAAGGATACAAACCAATGAATCACATTCAAAATCTCTCACTGAAAAAAAATTCTCGGCGTTTTTACCAAGGTCCGTTGGTACCTTTACCATCTCACTTTTTTTTACCAATTATTGGTAATTTTACCGAGACAGACTGGTAAACTTACCTAAAAACCGGTATTTTTACTGTTTTTTCAGGTAAGAATACCACTTTTATTGGTAATCAATTCCCGGTAACTTTGCTATCTTATCTCGGTAATTCTACCAAAGTCGATAAAAAATTTTGGCGTTTTTACCACGGTACAGGGAAATTACCGAGAAAGTTCAATCATTTTACCGAGATTTCGGGGTAAAATTACCAATTCCATAAATGGTACTTTTACCAAGAAAAAACTGGGATCAAATAGAACCCTGAATTCTTGGTAATTTTACCATTTTCTTAGTAAATACACCAAGGTTTTCTTTTCAGTGCTGGGATGGAAACTCTTGGACATCGTAAAAATTCGTGAAATTTTCCAAAGGCGGATTAAGGGGCAATATTATTTTTTGAAGACTTTGGGCTAGTATTTTGATCGGAATTTGACAGAAATTTGAGCGTGTAACCAGGCCATAAGCTTGTAAAAAATTTAATTGTTTAGATTAATTGTATAACCTTGGAATAAGGGTAGGCTTCTTCGTCTAGGAAACGACAATACTTCACGTGAAATTTCACGAGTTTAAATCTAACAACATTTTGCCGGCATGGACCTGGGTAAATGGGAATTGCTGTTGGGCATGCTAGAATCCCTTTATACTGAGAGTCAAGACAATGTGAATCCATTTCTGATTGGTTCCCCTATTTTAGGCCCTCACAGTGTCACAAACGGGAGTAAAGATTACATTTTCACCGATTGCAAAGATTATAATCTGGAATGGTCCGGGGAATTACGGGTTCGGCAAGAAACAAACGGAATGAGGGAAGGAACGGAGAAAGGAATTTGAGAATGGGCCGATCAAAAATTACAAAAAACGTTCAATTTGTGTAATCTTTATTCCCGTTTGTGACTCCATGAGGGGTGTTTTCTTGACTCTCAGTATAAAGGGACTCTAGATCCAATGTGTTTTTTTCCCAGTGTAGCTTGTAAAAAATTTAATTGTTTAGATTAATTGTATAACCTTGGAATGAGGGTACGCTTCTTCGTCAAGGAAACGACAATACTTCACGTGAAATTTCACGAGTTTAAATCTAACATGGCCGGCATGGAGCTGGGTGAATGGGAATTGCTGTTGGGCATGCGAGGGAGGATGATGTACTTACGAGGGTATGGCGGTGAGGTACTGGAGGAGGCGGCGGTAGTCGTCAGGTTTGGCGCGCTCCCGGCGGGGGGTCGCCGGGAAGGTGAGGACCGGGCCGCCGCGGAGGTCCCGCCCCCCGCTCAGGAGCGCCAGCCGCTCTTGCAGAAGCGTCATCACATCCAGGGCTCGTGGACCGTCCATGGCAACTCCCACCTGACACACAACACGAGAAAAAAACACATTAAATACAGGTGTGATGAAAAAAAACTCGCACGAAATCGAGAAAAAAACTGCCGTGATAGCGAAGAGAGCAGTAGTGCATGCTGGGATGAACCGCGAGACACATAAACGCATGTGCTAATTATGGCTCATACAGAAATGCACTTAATGCTCTCTTCGCCATCACACTGAAAAAAAAAACTCGGCGTGTTTACTAAGAAAAGGGTAAAATTACCAAGAATTCAGGGTTCTATTTGATCCCAGTTTTTTCTTGGTAAAATTACCATTTATGGAATTGGTAATTTTAGCGAGAAATCTCGGTAAAATTATTGACCTTTCTCGGTAATTTTACTGGACCTCGGTAAAAACGCCAATCTTTTTTATCGACTGTGTTAGAATTACCGAGATAAAATGGGAAAGTTACCGGGATTGATTACCAATAAAAGTGGTATTCTTACCTGAAAAACAGTAAAAATACCGGTTTTTAGGTAAGCTTACCAGTCTGTCTTTGTAAAATTACCAATAATTGGTAAAGAAAGTGAGATGGTAAAGGTGGTACCAACGGACCGTGGTAAAAACGCCGAGAATTTTTTTTCAGTGCACGGCAGAAAAGATAAAGAATTTCCTCCTGGGAGGAGACGAAGGGGACGCCCGGTGAAAGGGTGGTGACAGGAGACTTTAGAAGAAATAAAGGAGTACCAACTCCCTGAAGGGCTTTGAGAGGATAATGGACTTTGGAGGCTAAGCGTCGCAGAGCGCCAGAGAGCGCTATAACGGCGACTTTTCTGGGAATATGATAGAGAATCTCGAGTTTCACATCGCAGGTCGAAATATAGGTTTATTTTCCTTTCACCATCTAAGTTTCTAGTCAAAAAATTCCACTTGGTATCAAGTTTCACAAAAATCGGTCGAACAGTAGCCGCATATCCTACGTTCGATAGGACTCTCTACACAAAGGTAAACGGTATCAGTCCATTTACAAATTTTAGAGCGCCTTCATTTTCGTCTGATACCGTGCAATACTTCTGTGATTGCAAATATTTCAATTCCCCGTCAAAAGATACTCCTCGGTACCAAGTTTCACGAAAATCGGTCAAACAGGAGCCAAGATCGCAATTTATGCGACTTCCACCATCGTGGTTTTCTGCATTTTGAAATTTTTTTGAAAATTTGACTTGTGCGTCAAGATATACCTCTGACACCAAGTTTGACAAAAATCGATCGAACAGGAGCCGAGACGACATTTTAGCAAGGTGGAGAAACAAGGTGGAGAAACGGTGCTGGGTCCACACCATTTCGCGGGGAAACAAAGCCAAGAAATTCCAAAAATTAAAATTAGAGTCAAAATTAAATTTTTTGAACTCTAATGCACACCAGTACGAAACTGAGGGGGGGGGAGTGTTCAGCTCAGGCAGTTTGCATTGGAATATTAAGTTGGAGTCACGCCGAGAGATCTATACCGGTTTGGGCCTTATTAGACCTCATCAGCAGATCACACTCGGCAGTGAACCCAACTTAACATGCCGCAAAATCCAAGATGGCATTTTAGGCGACATCCACTATCTTGGATTTTCGAATTTTGAAAATGTGAGTTGAAATTCAAGTTCTCAGTCAAAATATGCCACTTGATATCAAGTTTCACAAAAATCGACGGAACAACAGCCGCATATCGTACGATCAGAGGGACTCTACGATGCTAGTCGGTTTGCAAACGTTAGTGCGCCTTCATTTCCGTCTGATACTGTGCAACACTTCCGAGGTGATATAGTTGCTCAAAGCGCCTTCAACAGTATCGCTTCGAATTGACGGCGGAAGATCACGATTGCCACTGATATTCCACTCTGATGCGTGCGCATTTACGCATTTTCTCATCATCGACTGTGAAGTAAAGTGTATCCACACCTGAATTTGCGACGTTGCAATTTTTCACTGCGTATTCACGAGTGACAAGTCCGTTTGCAAGTTTAATTTCAAGTTACATAAGTTGGTGAAAGTAAAACGAACATACATTTAGATTTGCAACCTTGCAGCCTTCTGGTCCCACTAAATTCCTTCACAGGAAAACTAATGTTAATCAGTTCTTGAAATTTTTACAGATTTATCATTGGAACAATGCAGAATATTCTGTATTTTTTTTTTTTTTAAAAAAAAAAAAAAAAAAAAANTTTTTTTTTGGAAAGAAATTTGTTTTATTCGCAAAAAAATGAAGTAATGAACACATTTTGCAACGTCGTCGCAATCGAAGTGTTTTCCAGCTTCCATTGTCACACAGTGTAAACACTAAATTTATGTATTATAACCCTCCATTTAAAATTGGGGTCCTTCTGAACTACGATTGCGAAATTAAGTTAATTAAAGTTCATTTTTTTTCTATTGGCATTTTCACCGATTGACTGCCTTGTCAGTTGAGAGCACGACAAAAATACGTTCCACAAGCAGTAGAAAGCCCTGAAAATAAAACATTCAAGAACGAACATCGAAAGATAACAGTGGCGTGGCGTGCTTTGCGATGTATCGATTGTTATGCCATTTAAACCTATGGAAAAGGATCGATAAACAGGGTGTTCGCAGAGAACACCTTAATAATCGATTCTTTACCATAGGTTTAAATGACATAACAATCGATACATCGCAATTCACGCCACGCCACTGATCGAAAGATAAACGGATCGCGTTAAGCAGAAAGGAATCATGCCACATCAGCTATTGCTAAATTGAATTGGGCCTTTTAATATTTTACAAGAGAAAAATTGTGCGCATTTTTGTGCAAATTTCAGTGAATTTTCTGCATAGTACGAAGCAAATTCCATAAAATTTTCACAGGCATCCGCAAAAACGTTCTCTTGTAAAAAATTAAATTTCTCGGCTAAATTCAGAAATAGCTGATGTGGCTTGGTTTCTTTCTGCTGGACGCGGTCCAAATCTCCAGTGTATACCCGCCGTACAACTTCATTACTTTCTGGAATACTTCTTCTCTCCAATTTTTCCGCGTTTCGACTGCTGTAAAACAATAGACTCATTCGAGGTTAGGAATGATCATTTGGACGTATTTCTACCAAACGGAACTATGTGCATTAAGACATGAGCCCTGAGACCCATAAGAATACACCCATAACAGGGCTCACGTCATAATGCACATAGTTCCGTTTGATAGAAATACGTCCATTTGACAATGGCACGGTTATCACATGGAATGCGGGTCTGAATTCACGGACATTCAGGTGGACATTAAAACAATAGGAGTATTAAGCGATTTTGTGTTGAGGAGGTCAGACTATAAAATTATTATTACAGCCGCTGGTACGGTATTCAGAAATTGCCCCAAAAATTTTATGGAGGAAGATACTATCATTTCATCCGACGACCGAACCAAACGATTCAGATCGGCATTAATGATTGGATGAATGTTAAACTTGAAAAAAAAAACCCGGAAAATTGCCATACCGAGCCACGGCATAAAGAGGTATCTAGTCGTCACAGAACTGTGTTCATGCCATACATGGATGCGATTTCTTTGATCACATTGAGGTATTGTCTACCGATTATTCTTGCGTTAAAGTGAAGTTACGCACTGCAGTTAGATGTGTCACAGAAGAAGTCAGAATCACTTGCTATCGCTAGAGAGGCTAACGAAAATTAGAAATAAGCTAGCTGGAAAGGTGTGACTCAGTCACTTGGTGAGCATGGTGAAGAATCCGTAAAATCCAAGGTGCACTCTACTACAGAGTATGGACGCTGAGAATAAGGGTCATCGAATGACGTTGCAAGTCGTACCGCCTTTGCCGCGCAGTTTAAAATGAGGTTCTGGCAGATCTGGTAGCTTCAATAAGCTATCAGATGAATTTGAAAAATTAATATAGCTCAAAGTAACGAAAAACTGAACTAAGAATACGAAAAATAACACGAAATTGACGAGACCCACTTACAGAACAGAAAGTAAATAAGTTTTCAATATTGCGTCGCAGTCGTACCATTGGACGCTGTCAAATCTATACGCGTTTCGACGACTTTCTAAAATTCCATTTGTCCATACCAGTAGTAGAGAGCACCTTCGTAAAGTCCGAAAAATCGTGAAAATAATCCGAAATTCGAAAAATACATTTATAGTTCTATGTCAAAAATGCAACAGCCATGTGGCAATCGTAAGTAAAGATTATCCTCGCAAACAAAGGAACTTTTCTTCGGCTCGTCGACGATCTGCCGGTAAAAGTTAAAGACGTGAACGGTGAGATCTCAATAAGAAAGTGAAGAAAAGTTCTCAAACGAGCGATGGATCTAGCAGACCACGTAATGAGCCTATTCAATTTATTTATGCCTCATTACAGGCTACCGGCCTTGTTCACATGTCTTGCCCTCTTCGCTCCGTCCGTCGGTGGAATTTCCCGATAACTTCGAATGATGGATTAAGCTTTGCTGCCTGCCTGAGAAAAAATTTCGAGAGTTAAGTGAGACGACTAAACTGAGAAAAATAGTTCGGTAACAGAAACTAAGCTACGGTTCATTTTTAAACCGAACTTCCAATAATTAGTCGGTTCTGGTCAGTGGCGTGGCGTACTTTGCGATACATCGATTGATCTGCCATTTAGACCTATGGAAAAGGATTGATCGAGGGTGCTCGCAAAGGATACTTCAATAATCGATTTTTTATCACAGCTTTAAATGGGGAAATATCGATAATCGATCACTAACGCTTCGCCTTCGGTTCAGGAAACTGAAGTTTCCAGTCATGGGAATCAAAGGTCCAAAAAAGCTCGGTGGAATTAGACACGTAGTTCAGTATCTATTACCGAACTTTCATCCTCAGTGTAAGGCAGTAAGGCACCTGTAAATACAAAATGGATTACATTTTGCAATAAGGAGCCAATATTCGTCAACGATTTTTTTTCCACGCACCTGTTTTTTCCAGTAATTTACGTCCCCGCGTTTTTTCGGCACGGGAGTTTTGATCCACGTGCCAGTTGAGACCCGAAGTTAATTGTCCCACATGTAAATAC